TCTTGTATCCTGAAACTTTGCTGAAATCTTCTATTAGTTCCGGTAGTTTTCTTGTGCATTCCTTGGGGTTTTCCGTGTATAAGATCATATCATCTGCAAATAGAGATACTTTGACTTCTTCCCTACCTATTTGGATGCCCTTTATTTCTTTTTGTAGCCTAACTGCTCTGGTTAGGACCTCGAACACAATGTTGAATAATAATGCTGATAAAGGGCATCCTTGTCTGGTTCCTGTTCTCAAGGGGAATGCTTTCAAAGTCTATCCATTCAGGATGATGTTGGCTATTGGTTTTGTATAAATCCCCTTAATTATACTGAGGAATTTCCCGTCTATTCCTATTTTTTGAGAGTTTTTATCATGAATGGGTGTTGGACTTTGTGGAATGCCTTTTCTGCATTGATTGATAAGATCATGTGGTTCTTGTCTTTTGTTTTTTTTGTGTGATGGATTATGTTGATTGTTTTTCTAATGTTGAACCATCCCTGCATACCTAGTATAAATCCGGCTTGGTCAAGTAAATGATATTTCTATTCAGATGAGTTTTTTGTAAAACAAATTGCACTTAAGATTATCAAAATTTAACAATATATTTTTCAGTAATTTTTAAAATTTTTATCAAGAATAAGTTTTCCCTCAGTGACTTATTCAGCTCTGATTGTACTAAAACTTGGAATTATTTGTTTTGTTTAAACTTATTGTGAAAGTTTTAAAACTTACAAAACAGGGAAGAGTATAATGAGCCCTCATTGGATTGTTTTTAATAGAATTTGTATTAGTGGGTATTGTTTGTATATTCTGTATTTTAAATCTAATGTGGTAATATAAATAAGTTGTCAATCAAAATCACTAAAAACTGTTCCCTACATATAATTTGCTACTTGGTTATCCATGAAGCTAAAGTGGGTAATATTAAAATCTCAAAGATATTAACCTTATGAGAAAAGATAACATTTCGTAGAAACTGTCAGTTTTTTAAAAAATTTTAAGCAATCTGCCCTGTACCAGGCCTGTTATTAGGAAATTTATAATTTTCAAGTTTTTCTCATTAAATGGGACCCAGTTATCTGGATTTGGGGCAGTGACAGTGGGAGTACTTTCTTCTGCCACCACTAAGAAGATCAGGTTGTCTTTTCATTAGCTTGACCCTGGTACTGCAGCTTTTCTCCTTTCTGCTTCTCTCCTTTGGTGTTCATCCCCAGAAGCATCTCTGCAGTATTACACATGTTCAGCCAGCCAGGTTTGTTTCAAAACTACTTTATTATAATGTAATAAAGTCTCCATGTTCAAGAGGTAAATTATAGGAACTTAATCTCACTATGTACAGTTTACTTATTAATCAAGCTTTTATAGGCTGTTGTTCTTAGGGTCACCAGTCAGTGGCATGTAAGGTAACGGGAAGCGAGAAATAATCCTAGCCAGATTATGAAACAGACAGCATTGATATATTACCATCAACCTGGACTTCTTTCTACACATCATCTCCTTCTGTGACTGCCTTTTGCACAGCCTTTTGCACTGTGGGTAAAATGATAGCCTCCTGAGACAAATAGTGTTTGCACTCTTGAGGCACTGTAGCCCAGTGATGTAGCGCAGTTATTGAGCCTGGCATCAAATCCTAGATCCACCACTGCCTCACCTTGTGCAAAGTTCTTTTCTCAGACTTGCTTCCTCATCTGCAAAATTGGAATAATCATATAACCAACTTATTCAGATTGTTTTGAGAATTAAACAAGCCAATACACGTCGAATACTTAGCACTATGTCTCACAAATAGCAAATTAATAACTTTATTAAACAAATTAATAAATGTTGACTGTTCTTATTATGCATTTACTGTATCATGTTGAATCCCTAGCTTCTCCATGGGATTCTGAGAATTTTCACTGAGTTACACAGAAATTACAAACTACACTGTAGATGCTTCAGGCCTCCTATGTTATTATTTGTGGAGAAGTGGTACTGTGTGTATTGTTTTTCACATTTTTATTAAATATTATGCAATAATAATCGCTACTATTTGAAACATGTCATATAGCATTTGAGGCTGTCTCCTGGTCAGTAATATTCACCTCATTCTAAGATTTAAAGTATTTCTAGAAAGATGCCAGAAACTCTGGAGGAATACTTAAAATAATAGTAGACACTGACCACCAATAAAGTTTACCCTTGTCTTTGTTTTAACCTTCTATTACATGAGAGTGCAGAATCCACATTCAGTGATTAAACACTTACTATCTCCTTTTCTTTTTCAGAAGATGAATAATCTTTCCTTTAGTGAGCTGTGTTGCCTTTTCTGCTGTCCACCTTGTCCAGGGAAAATTGCTTCAAAATTAGCATTTTTGCCACCCGATCCAACTTACACGCTGATGTGTGATGAAAGTGGAAGCCGCTGGACTTTACATCTATCAGAACGAGCAGACTGGCAGTACTCTTCTAGAGAAAAAGATGCCATTGAATGTTTCATGACTAGAACCAGTAAAGGCAACAGAATTGCCTGTATGTTTGTGCGTTGCTCGCCCAGTGCTAAATACACTTTACTCTTTTCACATGGAAATGCTGTTGATCTTGGTCAGATGAGCAGCTTTTACATAGGACTGGGATCACGGATTAATTGTAATATATTCTCATATGATTATTCTGGATATGGTGCAAGTTCTGGGAAACCAACAGAGAAGAACCTCTATGCAGACATTGAAGCTGCTTGGCTTGCTCTTAGGACAAGGTAATGGGGATTTGCAATTATTTTTCATACTTGTGATGCTTGACTAAAATTGGCCTGTATAAGAATAGAATGAAAGCTGCTTTTATAACACATGTCTGGAACTACTAAATAAGAGATTGTATTTACTAATATATACCTATGAAATAGTTAAACTTTTAGATTGCAATTTTAAATTTTGTGTAAGAGCAAAAATAAATTTTAAAGACAGTTTGAAGTGTGTGTATTTGTATTAGTACATGTGCATGTGTGGTGTTTTGGTGTGTTTTCATTTTTCACTTAAACCTTATGATGAATGTTTGGTTTTATAAACTTATTGGGGTATGATAAAAAATCATTTACTCAAAGCTGCAACATTTCAGATGAATGAAAGAAAACAGTGATTTAGCTAAGTATTCACTTAACCATTAATAAATAGTATAGGACGCTGGGTTGTTTTTTGTTAAAATCTTAAAAAAAAAAAAAAAATCCTAAGCCAGGGCTTGCATATTTTATATAATTATCTCTTGGAAGGTGCCAGTTAAAGATACCTTATTGAAACTATTTTAAAAGTATTCATTCTGTGAAAATGAGATTTTACTTTGCATTCTACATTCCTAAAACGTGGAGAGATGATCTCAAGTTTCTTTTTTTTTAAAGTAAGGTTATGATAAATGATTTAAGTAAATTCTCCTACTAGGTCAATTATTCTTTAATTATTAACAGAATACATGTTTGGAAAGTAGAAGTTGTATTAATCCTTTCTGGTCACTGAGATACTTAGAAAATTTTCTTGAAAAGTATTGCATTTTGTAGACTTCAGTGTGTATTTTCTCATCAGTCAATTAGTTCATAATAGATAACTTAGTATAAGTTACTTTCATATACATCAATAACCTGCCTGACTTCTAGAATATTTTAGAGTGAAGCTAGAAGATAAAAAAAACTCACTGTTTCTAATTTAACGTTTAAATATTAATGATTTCAGATAGTCAAGGAGAACCTCCTTGATTTTGTTACTAGATGTAACCTTTCTTAGAAGATGTTCTTAAAACTATTTTCCTTCTCTAAGATATATAATGGAGATATATTTTATATCTTATATATAATAAGGAACTCTGGAGGCACAGTGGTTAAGCTCTCAGCTGCTAACTGAGAGGTTGTCTGTTTGGACCCACCAGCAGCTCCGTGGGAGGACATTGTGACGGTCTGCTTCTGGAAAGACATCAGCCTTGGAAATCCTGTGGGGCGGTTCTATTCTACCCAGCCCTATAGGGTTGCTATGAGTTGGAATCGACTCGACAGCAGTGAGGTTAAGCTATATTATGATAAAGTTATACTCTCTTCGCAAATTCCTATGTAATAGGGATTACTAAATCAATTGAAATGATATGAAAACGTAATTCTGAGTAGTAAGAAAATAATAGATGGTAAGTAGTAGGTAAAGAGTTCACAGAAGGAGTGAAAAAAATTATTTTTTGACTTATAAACTTAAAAACCACTTTAAATGAACAAAGTCAAAATCTGTTTTCAGGTATATTAATATCAGTCCCATAAGGCTTTAAAAAAATGAATACCCACTTTTCAGAGTCAGCCAGTTGAATGTAGTATAATAACAGGAAAGCATGATTTTTTTTTTTTTTAATAACAGCTTTATTGAGATAGAATTCACATACCGTAAAGTTCACCCTTTTACGGTATACACTTCAGTGAATTAGTATGGTTTTAAAGGGTGCTAAGTTAAATAAGATAGCCTTTATTATTAGTGCTTTTAGTAGGACAAAAGGATAACTTTATTCAGATAAAACAAATATTAATATCTAATGCAGTGATTTTATGGCAGTGTAAAAAAAAATCCCCTTTTAAGTGGTCAGCTTTATTACTTTTTCTTACATTATTTTGTCAGATATCAGTTTGAAGGAAACGTTCTAAAATGATTTCCAGTTTTGATTAATTAATATTTTTTTAACATACTTGATGGACCAGTACTAACAAAGAACAGGGCAGGATAGATACATTCCTAATAATCCCAACATACTATCTTAGCACAGAATTTCAGACTTGTTTTCCTCTCATGTTGTTAAATACATATAAAAAAGTAAATCTGGTTAATCTTGGAAATTTATTTAACTTCTCTGGGCCCCCATTTCTTTCTCTGTTTAATAAAGCCATTGAATTAAATAATCTCCAAGAATCTTTCTTGTTCTGGAATTTTATCCCCTAATAAAATGTATATAATTAAAATGTTATGAAAACATAAATCTGAGGAGATAAAATAGGTGAGAAGTAGTAGGTAAAGAGTTCACAGATGGAGTAGTAAAAATTACTTGATTTATAAATTTAAAAGCCACTTTAAATGAACAAAGTCAAAATCTGCTTTCAGGTATATTGACTGATACTAAATACGTCAATAAACACATAATACATACACAAACTTAATAAAATGCGTGTAATTCCCCTTTCATTTCCTTTACTGATAAGAGTAAAAAGGTAGGGTTTAAGTAACCAGCAAGGGAAAAATAAGAAATAATGAACTTGAATATTTATTTGAATATTCTTTTTAGGAAAATTTAATACGTATAATAATCCCTATTCTGACGTTCTGATGGATAAACACAAAATAAGGGCCTGATGTTCAGTATTCAGGAGTCCCTAGGTGGTGCAGATGGTTACTATTGTCAGCTGCTAACTGAAAGACTGGAGGTTAGAGTCTACCGAAGGCACCTTGGAAGAAAGGCCTGGTGATCTACTTCTGAAAAATCAGCCACAAAAAGCCGTATGGAGCACAGTTCTACTCTAACACGCATGATGTCGCTGTGAATCAGAATCGACTCCAGGGCAACTGCTTATTCAATATACGATCTTCTCCCACATTCCTTGAGCTCATTTTCTGTGTGCTATAATGGAAAAAAGTACCGGACAGGGAGACAGGATACCTGGGTTCAAATTATACATCTGTCACTAACTTCGACTTTAAACATCTTTCAGTAAGCAGCTGGACTAGATTAGATGATCTCTACAGTTCTTCCTAACTTGTACTATTCTGAAATTCCATTATTGCTTTGAGTTGTCTGATGCTTAATTGGCAGCTGTCTCTAGGGCCTTGCCACTGCTCACTTTAACCAAAAAACCCAAAATTGCCACCAACAGTGCAGCTATTCAACTGACAGCAACACTACAGCCTCAAGAATTATGCTAATGCTGCAAATGATCATTGCCCTAATTCCTTCATTCCTGTGAACTATGTACAGCTGGGTCTGTTGTATAGAAAAAAGATTTTCTAAGTTTACTAACATTCAGAATCATTCTGGAGTAGATGGAACCCATGCCCTGGGACATATCCGATTGCTTGTGTAGGTTGGAAAAAACTCTGGGGAGGTGTGTCACATAGCCCAAATCATCCTGTGCCCCTCAAGAGGAACACATGGACAGTTTGCCTTGTTCTTTCCTGATTAATGTTTAGGTTCTTGGAAGGCTCTATTAGCTTTCCGAAAGACTAAAAGCTAAGGTGCAAATGGCAGATAGTATCCAAAAGTGACTGGTATCTCCCTTCTAAAAAGGAAAGGCATATTAATGTCACTATAACCCTTCACCGCACATTCAATAGCTTCTGTAGCATCTCACCAACACTTGCAGTAGTTACCAAAAAAAAAAAAAAACGTTGCCATCGAGTCAATTCCAACTCATAGTGACCCTATAGGACAAAGTAGAACTGCGCTATAAGGGTTTCCAAGGAGCAGCTAGTGGATTTGAACTGCTGACCTTTTGGTTAGCAGCCAAGCTCTTAACCACTGTGCCACCAGGGCTCCAGAAGTAGTTACAGTTGGAGCTATTATATTATAGATAAATAGCAGTGTCTGGAACATATTAGGTACCCAATAAATATTTATTGAGTCAACACATATTTAAATCTCTAGCAGTTTTAAAGGGAAGTAAAACAGTACCTTTGAGATTATAGCATGAAGTCTTTTCCATGTGGCATTTGGAATTACCATTCATCTGTTACCTTTTCAATCACTAGTTCACTTCAGTGAGTAAGCAAAGGCAAATTGCAAGAAAAACAGTAATTTGCTCTTAACTAAAACTGTACATATTCATTCCATACCATAACTATGTATGTAGCATTTTCAGAAATATGTAGTAATTCCAGAAAATAGAATTAGTCACTTTTGATGTCTGAAGAAATAAAGAACTTGTTATGTTGAATATAAATATTAAACATCCATTAAATATTAATACATTAAAATATTGGTGATAAAATGTGTTCCAAACTTAGTCAACAATATGTTAGGTTAAATTACTATAGCATAAATGATTTAATATATTCATTTCTTAAGGTTGAAATTTTAGAAAACCTGCGGTAATTTTTTTCTAAAGGTGAAATTGAAACATAAGAAAGGTGAGAATGTAGATCTTATTTTAGCATTGAATATGATAGTGATTGCTAAGAAACTTTAATTTTAAATGTAAATTAGTTGACATCGTCTCATTCTAATTCATTCTGTTATAAGAACAAGTCCTTAGGAATGATTGAACATTTCATACCAGCCCAACTTTTTTTTTTTAATTTCTGAACCTTGTAGATACGGCATTCGCCCTGAAAATGTGATTATATATGGCCAAAGTATAGGGACAGTACCGTCTGTGGATCTTGCTGCTCGGTATGAGAGTGCTGCTGTTATTCTTCATTCTCCTTTGACTTCAGGAATGCGAGTCGCTTTTCCTGATACCAAGAAGACCTACTGTTTTGATGCATTCCCAAAGTAAGTAGCAATATTCAAAATAGTGTAATTCCAAGAAACTATTTGAGGAAATTTTTTCTCATCACTTATGGTATTCATGACACAGTCCACTTAGCCATGAGCTTTAATTTACATATGTTAGAGAAATTGTGAAAAATAAATTCATGAAGAGAAGCGGTAGCCAGTCAGGAAGCTGAAATGTTGGAGCAGTAGTAATCCAGTGAAGAGTGCTGAGGGCCATATACTCCAGGCAGTGGCACTAGTATTAGAGACAATAGAGTGAATTTACAAAATAAAATTGACAGAACTGAATGTCAGATTGGATCTGAGATGCTGAAGAGAAAAAGCTTGAATATGACTCCCAGGTTTCTGACTTGAGCTGCTAATGGATGATGTTGTCATTGAGTTAAACACATAATACTGGACGAGAGGAACAGGTAGCGGGGAAATGAGGCACATGTGCATAGATGGGTGAGGGGTGAATGAATGATACCTAATTTACAAAAGAAGTAAATTGTTTAAAAAAAAAAGCTGTCTTAAATGAACTAGAATAAGTATTGCCCCCACAAAGTCTGCAAACATACAGTATTAGATGGATTTGAAAAGAAGGCTCCTTCTGCTTCATGCTTCTTAGAGTGGTTCCCACCTGTCACTCTTCATAGATGAAAAAAATCGATGGCCTGTTTTTCTCAAAGAAGGGGAGAAGCTAGCAAATTTCAGTCTTATTTCCTCTCCCCAGTTGGCAGCATTATAAATGAATTTTTTTTTTTTTTTTTTTTTTTTTTGAATGTCAAATGAGCCAAAAGTTAAGCCATTACTTGGTTCTTTATAGGAAAGGGAAGATCATTTCTAAAACAAATTTTTTCATCGTTAGCCAGTAAAGGGTCACTTTAGTAGGGAAGTTTATGGGAGCATATAATCTTATCACTAGAGCAGGCTGTGGGAGGTTTTGGGGTTTTTCTTTTGTGTTTGCTTTTGTCTTACAAAATGGTAGAGTGGAAGATATATGCATTGTACTGCTGTGTCCAGTTGAATGGTAGAAATGATAAGAGAGGAATTTAGGATGATGCTTATATCTGTATGTATCTCCCCTTTACGTTTCTGGCCTACCAACAGAGAAAGCAGCAGTAACAGACTATTTGATAAGATCATAATTTTTTTACTTTAGGCTTTAATTCCTCTACTGTTGAATATCTTCCTGACAGCAAATGGTATACTGCAGTATTTTTTCTTACCAACTACAGCCTTTATTTTATTGATGATTTCTTCCTTTCCATTTTCTGTTTTCACTTTCTGAAACTCCTGTGATTTAGATATATAAGACCTTTTAAATGGGCCCTACAATATCCTTATCTTTTCTCTCTTTATTTTCAGTCTTGTTGTTCTACTTTCTATGGGAGTTCCTCAACTCTCTTGTAACCATTCAATTAGGATTTTCATTTCTGCTGTCATGTTTTTAGTTTTCAAGATTCCATTCTCCTTTTATGCTTATATACCTATTTCTCTTAAGAATTTTTAAAATGAGTTTGTTTGTGGGATTCCTTCTCCATGTAGTTTCTCTTCCTCCAAGATGCCTTTTTAAAATTCTGTTTGTTTTTGGTCTCTGTCTTATATTCAAAGTGTTTTTCTCTGATGTCTGATAATTCTTGGTTATTTGCTCATATGAAAGAGTGAGGGACTAAAGAGCTGATCTGAAGCAAATGAGTAAGGCTTGTTGCTTGTGAGCTTCACTATAGAGGGATCTGACTAAGCCAGTTAGTTGGGGAACTCCACCTCCCATGTCAGTATTTATAAATATTTCCTTTTAAGGTAGATACAATCTCCAAAAAAGTCTCCTGGAGGATGCAGGCCTGGCTGCCAGTATTCTGGGAGCCGAACAGGGAAAGTGAGTTCATAGCAGCTGGTGTGTATATGCTTTCTTGATCTCTGTGATACCTCTGCCCAAAACTATGTCTGATAATTCCCTAGTCCACAAACTCTCCAGTCTTGACCTTGGGGAGCGTAGTTACCTAGCTGCATGAAAGGGATAAGGGACTTGGGGGTAGGAGACCTAGACAGATTTTGAACAAATCCTGTATGTTTCCCACATCATCTTCCTGTGAGTTCCTTTGCCTCCTGGGATCTTCTGTGGTACTGAGTTGGTTGTTCCCTTTACCTTCTATCCCCTTAGAATCCTGTTTTCTCCTATTCATTTAATCAGTTATCTCACACATCCATCTCCTTTCTCTCTCTAAAATTTTGTTATGTTTTTGAGTTTATGTCCTAAAACAGAAATAATTTTATTGTCATTTGAATAGGGCACTAGGAGGGAGAAAAAATATGAGCGCAAGGAGGCATGATGTTAGCACATACTAATGAAAAGATGCTGAAATGGTCCTTAGTTTCCTCCTCTCCATGAAATCTAAGTTTCTCTTTGAAAAAAGTAAATACAGAGGTGTAGTAGGATACAGTAGGCGTTGAGTGATTCTACCAAAACAAAATACATGAAGCTAACTTCCTCAGATAACCTTAGGGTAGGGGGTATGTAGAAGGTGACTTTTGAATCTTATTTGAAATCCAAGAGGTTTCCATCCCTTCTGAACTGATTCAAAGATGTTCTGATGTTTGAATTATTTGTTGGAAGTAGCACGTGAAAATTTATTTTATGTTCCCTTATCTAGTTAATTTATAGGATATTTTCCCCCTCCTCTTTCCCTTACAGCATTGACAAAATCTCAAAGATAACCTCTCCAGTATTAATAATTCATGGGACTGAAGATGAAGTCATTGACTTTTCACATGGCCTAGCGTTGTTTGAGCGTTGCCAAAGACCTGTGGAGCCTCTGTGGGTTGAAGGAGCTGGTCACAATGATGTGGAACTTTATGGACAGTATCTTGAAAGATTAAAACAGTTTGTGTCACAGGAACTGGTAAATTTGTAAAATATTCTGTAAATTGTATGCTGGGTTTTCTTTCGTTACTGAACTGCACTCCTTGGTAAATAACATAAAACCTGAAGGTATTGTTTACAAATCATGTCAGTTGCCTTCATAAATGTACAGGTAATGATTTGTTAACAGACTTAATGAAGGTTTTAATTACCAGAACTAGAAACTGGAAATAACAGTATCATGCAGTCAGGCTGTGTAATTTATATTTTTTCTGTGAATTTTTTTTTAAACATCAAGATGAGTACTGTATGAAATTTTAATTCTTTAAAATCAAATGCTGTAAAAGTATTGCCAAATGCTTTTGCATATCAGAAACAAATTTATAAATATTTTTAAAACATCTCAATGTACTAAATCTTATCCTGCTATATAAATGTAATATCATTCTTTTAAAAAAAAGTTATATATCTGAAACAGTTCAAGTACTAAAAATAGAATAAGCTGTAGAAAACATACAAGTTCACTAGCATTGACCTCAACTCTGTTGTACAGGGATAGAGGTTTAAACGGTTATTTTATTGTAAAATACAGTGAATTTTCTGTATTCTCTGGTTATCATACATTTTCTCCTTTTAAAAAAAATGATGTAAGTCTTAATTTTTACACCGTCTGTTAATTTACCAACTAGTTACCTACCTTGTAAATGAGAAGTCTTAATAACACTGAATTTTAACCCTTTTGATTTATAAATTTGGTACTGTGAGGCAACTACTTAAATTTTTCGTTTTAGTTATTTAAAAGGCATTTAGAGCTTCAAGAATGATTTTGTATGCACTGTTGTTTTAAACTTTGATTAATCTCGTAGAATTACAGTACTTTGAATACCTGAAAATTGATTAGTTGTTCTTCAGGACCACAAACAGACTGGCTATTTGGTCCCTTTTCATGTTCCCTTTGGCTATTTTTAAGAGTAGGATCCATTGTTTTGGATTACTATCTGAGAATTTCATGAATTTGCTCCTGGCAACAGGAGATGAGAAAACATTTAATTCTTAACTTTTATATTAACCAATACAGTAAAACATAAAGCTTATAAACACACACACAAAAAAAAAAAAAAACTAAGTTGCCTTTCCTTGAATGAATCCTGCTTGAATAAAACAATGAAAGAAAAATAAAAATAAAAATAAAATTAATGGTATGTAGTCTAATTTGTAAATGAATGACTATTGAAATAATACACACTGTGGATATATTTTAAGGCCTTATGTAGTTTTAATTGTTCTGCTTGTTCTGTGGTTATGTCTAAGACTATAGTAGATTCTCTTCAAAGTATATCAAGTATTGTGAATGCTTTGGTTCAGATGTGTCAAATTAACAGTAAAACAACACGTATACCACTCAGCTGTGCTTGTTTGCCTTCTTCTATGCTCCCCAGCCTCCACCAAAAAGAATGAAAAAAAATTAACCATCTTTTATAGAACGTAATTCTGTAGTGTTCTAAATTTTATCATCATTCCTTTCTTCTGGAGAGGTTTTTCCTTCTCAGTATTGTCTTGGAGCATTTACGTTTTCTACTTTGTACAGTATACAACCCAGAATTTAGCTAAATCTTTTCTTTGATTACCTGGGAAAATCTAAATATTGGTCATAATAATTCAGCATTCATTCATTCATTCAACAAATATTTACTGAATGTCTAAATCACACAAAACTCTATGCTGGGGCACTAAGGAGGAAAGAAGATAGACATAGACCATGTCCTCATAGACTTCACAGTGTAGCTGAGGAGACAGCTCCTCATAGCACAAGTAGTTATTACTATTTTGATAAGGGCTGAAGGAGATTTGTAGGGTATTTGTTATAAGAGGTGAAAGACACTCTTGGCAGAGGAACATAGGAGACAACACAAGGAAGAGTCCCATGAAGAGGTGGTATTTGAATGGAGCTTTGAAGGATGACTAATAACTGACTAGACATGGGTGGCCCAGGGGACATATTCCTGGCTGAGGGGAACAATATATGGAAGCCTAGAGGAAAGATGATACATTTGAAATGTAAGAAGACTGGCCAGAGGGCAAGGGGAAGGATGGCATGGGAATGAGGCTGACAAGCTAGTTAGGGGCATAATCATAAATGGTATCATGGACCTAGGTCTTTATAGATGAAAAAAAATCTGGAGATTTTAGCTTACTAGAAATAACATGTAAGCCAACTGTTAAGAAACTGATGCAATCTTAGGGGGCTAAAAAAATGCATCATGGGGAAGTAGTCTCATATACAAAGTGCTGGTCAAACCACATCTGCAATATTGATTTCACTTCAGGATGAAATGAAAATATATTCACAAATTAGAGCAAAGCCTGGGGTGTTTTACCAAGTTGGAAAGAGTCCTATAAACTGATACACAAAGACTGGCTGAAGGATTATGTGACTAAGGAAAGATAGCTGTCTTTGAATATTTAGGAGGCAAGTACAATTTGTTCTCTTTGGCTCTCAGAGCAGAACTAGGACTATAAAACTGAAAATTACAAAATGGCAGATTTGCGCTCAATGTAAGAATTTATAGTTACTTGTCCACCAAGGAAAGGGGCTCCTCCTGGAGTTTAATGAGTTTTATCTTACCACTGGAGACAGAGCAGAAGCTGAATGACATCTGTTGTGGATGCAGCAGAAGAAATTCTAGATTTAAATGGCAAGTTGTACTAGATGCACTATGTAAGATCCCTTTAAGATTTTATATTCCATTCAGATTTCCCCTGCCTTCTTGGACTGTTGCTGGGCCTGCAGCATCTAGAAGACAATATGATGTAGGAGAAAGACATTGGCAAGCAGAACTGGGCTCTCAACTGACATTAATTAGATCTGTGGTCTCGGGCAAGTCACTTCTCGCTAGAAGTAAAGAGATGGAACAGATTGGTTAATATAATCCGTTACATTTCTAACATAATGTGAAAGTCAGCCCCATGGCTATGTAATGGCTCATGCCAATTTGTAACCAGTTTTAAACGGTGGCTAAAGTAGCCCCAGGAACCCTGGTGGTGCAGTGGTTAAGTGATATGGCTGCTAACCAAAAGGTTGGCAGTTCGAATGCACCAGCCCCTCCTTGGAAACCCTGTGGGGCACTTCTACTATATCCTATAGTGTCACTATGGGTCGGAATCGACTCAGCGGCAATGGGTTTGGTTTTAGAGTAGCCCCGGCTAGCTCGTTTATGATATTTGGCTTTTGTGCATAGCAACATGGTGCAATTTAGATGGTAACTCTAATCCTGGGAAGATGGCCAGCAGTATACATACCTCCTGCCATATCCTACAAGTACAAAAAAAAAACAATAAGTACATAAGAACTTTTCATCAATTGCTTTATCATCTTCATACTTTTTCAGACTTCTAAGTTATGCAAATTTACTAGTTCGATGTCCTACTTAAGAGTATATATCACAGTACTTTTTTTTCTTGGTGTTTACTATAAATGTGGTTACTTTAAGAAAGCTTCATACATGAACATGAATTTTTAAAACTGCAAATACATCAGATGTTATATAAATAGTGATGTTCGTGGTACATTTAGACATTCTATATACTAAAACTTGATTTAAGCGCGTTTCAAGAACAGGTATTATGCAAAACCAGATAAACTCATAAATCTTAAAAACTTTAGAGATTATATAGCCTATTCCCTTCACTGTACAGGTAAAGAAACAAACCCAAAGAAGGGAAATGGCTCTCCCAAGGTTGGCAGTCTAATTGTCAGAGGTGGTACTATATCCCGTTATCTTCTCTTGTCTGGACTAATACACTAATGATCCTTTTGAACTCTAATGCACATGAACTGGTTTGCTCTCTGGTATTAGTCATACTTTTATTTCTTAATGGTTCCTAGCTTCCTTCGAAGTGTTACCGGCTGGTTATTCAATGAATAATAAATTAGTAGGTTGTGCTGTTGACATTTCTCAAATTAATGATTTGTATATTTAAAGTGACTAATACTAATTTACTAAGCTCAGTAACAGTTGTTTAGTTGTGTTAAAACCTAATTAGGGTGATAACCATAGTCATGTGAATAAATAATCATGTGTTTACTTCAGCAGCACATATACTACAATTTATAACATAACAAGAATAAGCAATTACATTGAGAAAAGTATCAAAATAGTTATTACTAATCCGTTATAGATGGGCCTTTAACTTTTTTGTTTGAAAACATGCAATATATTAAAGTATCGTGATAGTATATTGCCTTCTAGTAGTTAAGTAATGTACTCCCCAGATGTCCAGTAACCAAACAATGTAACAATTTGTGTATGGTATATGGTACTTGGAGTTATGTTCTGAGTTAGAATTTGCAGAATGGCATATAAAGAGACAGCAGTTGTCTCCAAATGGATATGCCTGTGATTGAATCGTTGAATGAGTAATGCTGAGGAAGGAAGCACACATCTCTAGCCTGGAAATGACCCACATTAGAGTTTAAAAAAAAAAAAAAAAAAAAACAGGAACTAAAGCATAGACTCTTTACAAATGTGAGCTGAGAGCTAGTAAACTGCAGCTGGTTCTTTCATATGAAGCCAGATGGAATTGAAATTATTTTACTCCCTCTCTCTATTTCCTCTTGCAGGCCTTGTACTGAGCTTGCATAATACAATTAACACTTCCAGAAAAAAATTTTAATAATTGTGCTTTAAAAATGATATTTCTATATTAGAAAAATAGGAGACATTGCTGTTTTTAAGTATTTCATGGTAGTATTTTTTCTCTGTTGATAAAATGCAAGTTTCAGCTGCTGTGCTACTTGATTATTTCAGAACTGAAGGGGTTTTTTTCCCCAAAAGAACTGCTTAAGACAGTATATTCAGTTGAGGAGATAGGGAGGGTAGAGGTTTATGGATATAGGAACACCTGAATTAAAATTTTTAAATGTACTTCATTCTAATCTGCCTTTTAGCCCTTTTCAAAATTACCTGCTATAAGTATGGTGGATTTATAGAACGTGAATCAAAACATCTAATTGGCATTCTACATTATGCATCTTCTTAAGATAAAACACTGTATTTGTATTTAAACACCTAATTTCAAATTGTGTAAATAAATTCGAGTTTAAAACTGTGGTAAATCAGAGGCCATCTATATTAGTTTACCAAAGTTCAAGATTTTACAAGTTTTTTGAGATTCAAGCAAGTTTTGTTTTTTTTTTAAGTCTGGAAGTCTGAGGTCCAAGCCTTCTAGGTCTACCACTAGGGAAAAAAAACTGGGTGGGTAGGATGGCGACACAAGAAAGTAGCTTAGAAATCATTGAATACACGTGACACTATTGAGAATGATCATTAAACTTGCTAAAGTATCCAGTGTAATACCAAGAGAAAAATATGTAAAATTGATGAACTAACATGATCACACGTCCATAAAATAAGATGTGACTGCCCATCAAAGCCGGAATATATACAGCGAAGAATGATTGTGTTAAGGTCATGGGATTATAGTGACTTCTTCTTAGAAAGGTAGCTTTTGTTTTTCTGTATCATTTCTTATTATTTAAAAAAAAAGAAAAAAGAAAACCTTGTTTTTATCGTCATTGTCAGAAACTGGCTCTTTTTAAGCCTGGGCGTCTGAAACCGTAGGACCCCAGAATAGGCCAAGGAGAAGTAACTCAAATGTGTTTTTAGCCTGACAGAACAGCAAGCAAACATAGCCAAAGAGGAAGATTCCTTGTACTTGGGCGATAGAGGGATATTTTTTGGCAGGGAGTATAACAAGTAGTATGATAATTGTAATGCCTTACTTTTCTATGGAGCCCTGGTGGAGCAGTGGTTAAGAGCTCAGCTGCTAACCAAAAGGTTCGCAGTTCAAATCCACCAGCTGCTGCTTGGAAACCCTATGGGGCATTTCTACTCTGTCCTATAGGGTCGCTACGAGTCGGAATTGACTGGATGGCAACGGGTTTACGGGTATTTACGTTTCTATAAACCTATTTTCTAGAAAGCACTTCACGTGCAGTACCTAATTTGGAATTCATAACTCAGCAATATGAATATTCCGTAAAGTCAGTGCTAGGCTTCTATATTAGGGTTTTATTTTCCCCCAAGAGGTGGATATTGTAATGAGTGCTCAAGGAAGGTGGGTATG